CCCCCCCCTTGATTTGAATCTTTTTTGTGGCGCAGTTGCATGCATGTAAAGGTATGTAGTATTTACATTTACCAGTCAGAGTCACATCCCACACTGTAGGTCCTCTCCCTTGGAGTCTGTCTCATCAACTTTGATTTAAAGGAGGAAGGGGGGGAGGGGGAGTCTGAGGTTTAGCTCTGTAGTGACACTTTCAATTGGATCAAGTGGGCGCGATTTCTTAATTTCACTTGTTGAAATCCCAGTGTCACATTGGAGCAGTTTGTTTAGACCTGAGAACGATGCTGATGGTTGTGAAGTCTTTGAAGTCACAAACCACAGGTCTCCTCGTGCCATTATGGAGCAGTGTGACTTATGTTTACTGGCAAGAGGGGCCGCCCCTTTCCTCCAGTTTCTTAGATATATGCTCTGACTGCAGAGCTGCTGGGTTGTTGATTTTCAGAATGTTCAACTACTTGCGTGAGATGTTTCATTTTGGGCCTCATTTGTGTGTGTGTTTGTGTGTGTGTGTGTGTGTGTGTGTGTCTGTTTCTGTGTGTGGTGCATGCAGGCTAACCCAGCATATGCAGATTGTCTAAATCACACCAGTGGACTGTGGGCGAACAGCAATTTGGTTGGCCAGGGTTGCAAAGTGAACAGTTATACCCGTAGAACCTCCTCCAGTCATGCAAGTGAGTCTTGTAAACTTGTAAACCGCTTTTCTCCACAACATCACAGTGATACTGGGAATAATGAACTGGTCTTTCAGCAAAGTGTAAAAAAATATCTGTATGTATGTGAAGTAAAAAACCCAACTCTCCTTACAGAAGTGTTTCCCTTAGTTTTGTTTTTTTTTTTACATCTAGTGTAATCCAGAGAAATGTAGTGTAAACTGTATAATTTATAGCAAATTTAGAGATGTATATATATTTAAAACTCATTATGAGTGCAAAATCGTTTATGTATTTTTATGCATATGTGTTCATTGTTACAATTCTAGAAAGTTTCCCTTAACTTGAAACTAAGTTCTGACTTAAAAATAACAATTAAAAAAGGACCAATAAACATATGAGCTCACTGTCACATATATCTCTATATTCTCCTGTTAGCAGTCACAGAGAGAAAACGGGCTCAAATTCAAACTCTTCAAAATCTTTTGGCGGGGGTGCACATAACTGTGTGTTTATTACATGTGATCTCTTTAGGTTTGCATAGTTGCACCTATGACTACTGGGCCACACAGATCTGAGTGCGCAGAGCCAGGGGATAAAGGCCGCTGCTTATTCAGCCTAGACCGAGTCCGCTGGTCGTCTGCTGCGGGAGGGGAGGGGAGCCACAAGGTCGGGCTGGGGACAGAGTGTCGTGAAATTCTCCTCTGACAGGAAACAGGCAGCGAGGGAGAGAGAGAGAGAAAAAATCAGTCCTTTCAGTGAAGAATGACTGGCCCTTCTGTCAGGAGTAGTGGGGCTCAGGAGTTTGAGTGACAAAGATGCTACTGACAGGCTGACAAGCAGATGACCACATTAAACAAGCCCAGGAATCTGAGTGAAGGAGAGCCCTGTCCATGTTAACGAAGCCAAATTGGATTCCGATGATGATTTCAAAATGATATCCACGAGGTGCAGCAGCAGGAATGAGCATCTCCCTGTTAGGCAGGCAGACTACGGGGAGTGTGGCCGTGAGAAAGAAAGCCTCTTTGTCCGCACTGATCAAAACATCCATTATCAAAATTGTGAAGGGCAAATTGAAATATGGTTGTATGTGTAAGGAAAGAATATTTCTTGAAAAGCCAATTAGATATTTTATAAACTTGGAAAGAGCATCTAATGGTCCCAGTGGTCATCAAAAAGTCATGGCTTGGAAATTCCTTATGGAGTAAAATCAGGGAACGCAGCTTCTTTGATGTAAATCTTCATACTGAGCCTACGTGATCCTGCAAAAAAGTGTGACTAACAATCGCCTTCGCCTGTAAAGGGGCATACATCATCAAGGTGGGGGTTGAAAGTTAGAGGGTTCACTTAGTTTGGTATAGCAGTAAAGACTACATAAATAGTCTATAACCTGTTGCAATGTGATACTCACCTCTTGCCGGGACAGTACCATAAAATGCATTTCTAGGCTCACACAATATTTTCATTACGTGTGCAGAGGAAACTACTTAAGTTAAGCTCCTCTTGCAACCCTAATAGGAGTAAGATGATTGAAAACAATTTGTTTGGTCACAGTGGTTTGTTAAAATGAGCAGTTTAAGCAAAAATCAAACTCTGTACTGTTAATAACAGAATGCACGACTAGCAGTGCTATTAGGAAAACATGCAGCAAAAGTTCAGTGTTCTGCTTCTGATTTCAAACGTATTACTGCACAAAGTTCCTTAATATACTGAGCCACCAAAGCTGACCTGGAAATAAACACCAAAACACTGTGTATTAAGAGAGACCACGAGGAAAGGAAAATCACAGTGTTAGCCCAACAGAGTTGAACAAAATCAAAATTTAGAGATGTGTGATTATGTGTGACTTGTGAGCGGATGGATATTCTATACAGTTTGCCAGCTGTGCGGATATTTGGGGCTAGCATAGAACGTGCGATGCATCCCAGCCCTCCCACCTAAAGAGCGCTTCATGCTGTTGGACTCCCTGTGTGAGGCAGCCGTGCTGACTGCGGGTTTGCGCTCTACACGTGGAATGCATCATACCCTGTAGAAGCGCTGCCTTTGTTCTGTATGTTTGAAAAGCTTTGTACTGATCCCCAGGTGAAAGTGGAACGGCCTGTGATACAGCACACACACTGCTCCTGAGAGGCACCGAACGACTCGCCTGCTCACACTTAAGTCTTTAGTGTGAGATTTAATGCAGCACCATCTCGAGTATTTTGAGTCGCACAAAATTGACACTCAATTTTCAAAACATGTATATTAAGTACATATTACAAATCCTCATATTTTAACCTACTTAACACTGCATCATTAGTTAAAGCTTTTATATTTACTTTTATGGCATGCATTTTTAAGTACTTAACAATTTCTATAATGTGACCCTGGCAAACTAACATGACGTTGTGTGTTGCAAAGATAGCCTTCCCTCTAGAAAACTATGTTATGAAATTAATAATAACCCATGTTAATAAATTCTATAAAATATTTGAGCAGACACAGAAGTACAAAACGAGTTCTCAGTATCAACTGTTGTTTAAAAACACATATAGTATGAGTCAGCAAAGTGAATTCACTCCGCTTGTTTTGAATGTTAAATACTGATGCCGTCTTCTTCCATTTTGTCTCCAGGAAAAGAAGTCCCATCTCCCGCGCGAGTCACGTCTGCCCCGTCAAAAAAGGAGCGTATCTCCTTCCGTGACAACCCGGTTCACCTGAGCGGTGGCTGGGGAGGAGGCAAGAAAAGGGACAGAGTGCGCAAGTAAAAACACAAAGCCTCCTTCCAGAGGTCACCACTTTTCCTGCCCTGGCTCTGCAGCCTCTAATAGATGCTGTTGCAGCTTTCTTATATGTACTTCGATGCATTTCGCGTCAAAAGATTATTAAAATATGCGTTGGAAGAGCTCACATGGATACTTTAGAAAATTTTTAGCTATTAAAATTTAATGTGATTTTCCTTTGCCGGTCAGCTTGATTTTTAATGCTGTTTTATTGCCTGCACTGAGATGGAAAAGCAGATGAAAACTCAAGACTCCCTTTTCTGTAAATTAATTAAGGCCAACAGGACTCAGACCAGCCCAAATATCTGCAGGCGGTTCTATTATGTTCATTCAAGTATCAAATGCTGTGTTCTCAAGTATCATTGCCCAAACCTCACTGCATCCAACTAGCACCGAAACACATGGAACAAAGTCACAAATGTTGAGTGGATGACATGCTTCATATGCAAATGATGGCAGGAAATAAGAACCAGAACTTTTAATGCCTGTTTCTTAGGATGCTGTCATTTTGCCTCCATGCAGATTTTAAATACAGATTGTAACTATGAGATCAGTCTTACCCTTTTCCAATTTTCTGTTGCTTTCTCAGAGCAGACTTTATGAAAGTGCAGAATTTTAGTTCGACTGCCCTGTATTTGTGTTTAGCGCTTGCTAACCAAAAGTGCATTTATGTTCTCAGCACAAACGTTGGTGTTAGATTTGGAACACTGTTTTCTTTATCTTCTGCCGTGGATCGTAATGGCCTTGTCTGTGTATTTGAATTTGGAGAGCCAAGGCGTCCGTCCACAAACACAAAACCTACTGAAGCCAGTGAACATCAGGCTTGAAGGTTCCTTGCTGAAAATGATAAGTTAATGAATGTCAAAACAAATAGTCAGAGTTGCAGAGTGGCTCCCTGGAAGGAAATGCATGTCGGCCTGTTTATTTTCCTTCTGTCTTTCACTTAAGCATGGCTTGAGGCTGTGTTTTGACTGTACACGATCTGATGGGGATTTTTGTCTTGGAGAGTGGCGCATGCCAGAGATGTGGTGGTCCTGCCCACTTGGGGGCTGTTGTGAAACTGGAGAGCACTGTTCTCCTGCAGCGGGGAGACTGATTCTTCTAGTTGTTTTTTTGTAGACTGTGATCATACCAGTACTGCATAAGTCAAATCTGATGCTTTGCTTTACAGACAGGTGTGCGTGGCCTATCTGTGCCTATGTCTTGTCACTAGTATTACTTGACACAAGTTGAGATTTGCCATTAGAGCTGTTTTCTGCAGCTTTCTATTCTGAAGGGATGTTGTTAAGCTGTAATCTACCACTCTTCATTTCATTTGTATACGTTTGGATTATGGGTAAATTATATGTAACCTAAGAGATCCAAAACCCATTGCCTTGTAAAATGAGAGCTCCACTGCACATTTAGATAAGACCATGAATGTCCCTCTCAGCCTCGTCTGCCATGTCAATGGGACTCTGCATCCAGATCTCTCCAAGTGCTCTCTTTAAATGCATTGAAGTCCATAAAACCACATTTCTATGTTTTCACTACAATTTGCAAATTTTGCACATTTTTGCTGAACATTTTTGAAGTACGCTGTGGAGTTATAACCAGTTCCTGGCAGCTTTTAGGTTCCTATTCATTTCTGAATGTTTGAAAATGAATTAACAGACACGTGAAATGTTAGCTTTGGCCAGTGGTTTCAATTTAAAGAAAGCAGTGGCTATCTGGAAAGATTTCTGAAGAACACTGGTGTACTTGCAGAATAATTCACTGTGATGTTAAAATAGTTAAAACATGAGAAACACACAGACCTTTAAATGTGTAGGAGGTTTTTGGTGGTCCAACTAATGCAAATAAAGACAGAATAAAGAAAGCTGTGGTGAGGCAATGCAGAATAAGGGTGTGGCATGACCTTGACATCAAATTTGTGTGTTGCAAGAAAATAATATATACTCTGAAGTGATTGCATTTTTTTAGTCAATATTAAATCTTAAAGGGTTTGAATTGTATGTACATTCTTTAAAAAGGACCTTAATTTTGCAGAGATATATTGCGCTACTTAAACATGCTTTAGAATGTAAAACCCTTATTGATAAAAATGATTTTATAGTTGGATTCTATTTATTTCTACTTTATTAGTAACTCTGTCAGAGTAAGAACAGATTGTGCAAGCTGCCCTCTAAAAAAGAAAATGGAAATGTTTTCATTATCAAATGTATCATTAAATGAATGTTTAGACACACTTTTTTATGTCTGTTTTTTTATGATGACTCGAAAATATAAGATGTGTTTTATGAAGAAGTAAATAAGAAACACAATTTTTGTATTGTAATAATAATTGATGTGATATGATTTTGTTTGTTAAATTTGGTTTGATAATGCCTAAACTGCCTTTTCTTTTGCTACTGGTTTCAGCAGTTTACTACAATAACAATAGTTTATGTGGTATTTTGTGCTTTTATAAGTACTTGATGTCTTTTAGCATCTCCCATGACACAGAGGTCATAGAGACTGTTTTGCTGTTCATTGATTATTTTATTTTGTTAAGCCTAAACCTTTTAGATATGTTTCAAGTATTAGGAAAAATATATTAATTTATTAATGTATTAATTGATTAATCATATACAAAATGTATAGTCTACAAAAAAAAATCTTCACAATGACAAGACGAAGAAGAACGAATTTCCCATTTATAATTTCCCTGATATATAAAAAAGCATATACTATTATAAACAATGTATTTAACATTTCCTTTACCCTTGTACTGTGCTATAGCATCCGATTAGCGTGGCTTACTTAACTGGACGGTTTGCAGTGGTTTCAGTCGTATAGGGGACCTGTGCAACATGTTAACATGAACTCAGAAGACTTAGTGAAATCACTGAGACTTGAAGCTTGTTAGTGCTCAGGAATGCCTGACTATGGAAAAGCAAATGGCAAACAAAATGAAAACAAACTTTCGTGATGCTGATGCGCTGCTTTCACTTTCTGAAATTCAGCCAAATGTTCTGCAGACTCGAGTGGCATCAATAAGCTCACAGTTTGTGCTTTTGGGGAAAATAAACTTTGGTCTTTTTCTGTGTGTGTTTCATGCAGCCAAAGTTTGAAGACATTTCGTTAAATTGAATTATACCCAAGGGTAGCTTTGGGCATCATGATGTCATGTTTATTCCTTCTGAAGTGGCAGATTTTGGCCTGTTCAGCTTCAGCTTTTTTGTGTGTTTGATCATGTTCAGTCACATTAAGGCTCAAAAGGTTGAGAATTAGTTCAATTCAATCATATATTTTAGAATTGTCTTTTTTTTTAAAGTCAAGTTGTAGGTCTTTCAAGGTTGCTCACATGACATTGGCAGCAGTACTTATAGAATTAGCCTGACTGATCAACTCATGACCAGCTTCTCCACTTTTGCAGAACCTTGCAGGAGCTATTGTGGCTGGAATTTCCAGCAGAAAGCCCACCAAACCACACTGAACTTTTAACATTTTCTCCACAGCATGAGCCAGTGTGCAAGGTCATCGTAGGAAGGCTAAGACACCCCCTGCTACTTAGGAGCACACCTATTTATTTTTATTTTTTCTCCTGTGGCACCATGCAGCCCCAGGTAACTGCCACTGACCCTCGAGCGAACCAAAGCTATGCATGGTGTGCATCGCAGGTGGTGTAGCTCAGGGTGGAGATGTCGAGGTTGAAGATGGGCTTTGGTTAGCGGTAATATAATTCTTACAATAAGAAAATACAGAAGAACAACTCTTCCTGTTCTTTTTTTTTGGTGAAAAACTCGCAGCTGGGTTCCTGTGTGTGTGTGTGTGTGTGTGTGTGTGTGCTCTTGAGGGCTTAATGAAACTAAACTTTCCCGGATGTTTCAATTAAGAAAAAAAGGAATGATCAATATTCCAGTAATGGAACTTTTTAAGTTTATTGCTAAAGTTCATAAAATCCTCTTTTTTTTACCCAGCAGACAACAGTGGCATCGTCTACTCTAATTAGAGAGCATAGTTTTAGGTTTTTAGTCCAACTGAAAAGAATTTCTCGTCTTATGCTTTTAAAAAGTTTTCAGTTAGTTTTGCAAGCATCAAGCAGCAGCTTCATGCAGGTTTGCAGCCGTAATATTAGATTCTCATTACAAAGCAATGAAGTGCACAAGATCCTCCGCGCAGCTCGAAATGTAATTTAATGTTTAGCTAAAAATGAAACTTACTCTAAAGCCACCAGACATGAAATTTACATTATTATCGTGTTAGAATAATAATAATAATAATAAAATCACTTCTTAAAATCCATATTTTGATCGCGTAAAAGAGAGAGTCTGGAATGTGCCACGGTGTTAATAAAGATCTGTTTTTGGGTGCAAATAAATGAAAAAAAGAAGAGAAAATCTTGCATTGGGTTTTCAGAAGGATTTGAAATATTTAAAATATTTTAATAATAATAATAATAATAATAATAATAATAATAATAATAATGATGATGATGATGATGATGATGATTTACCCGACAAAGACGAACGCATGTTCCACCTTCCTGTTTTAATAATTAAATATGATTGATTATTTTACTTCGTCACATGACAGATTCGCAAATGTCAAATCTGCTTTATATCGTTTTTATTGGTTTGAAGTTTCAGAAATGATCTTTTCTTTAAAATGGTAATAAATCAATCCTCCGAACTTAAATGACTTACTGCAAAATATAACAAACTTATTTATATGTTCACGCCAATAAAATCTCCTCCGTTTGAGAACATCTGACTGTTGACTTCCTTCTGCTGCTTGCAGGTTAAAATATCCCTCCAAATAAATAAATCACAAGCAGAGTTCTTACAACATTTCCAAAGACGCGAATTAAATCCCATTTTCAGCTGAAAGGTTTAGCTGTAGAAAAAATATTGCCTCATTTTGGTCGTCTAAACATGCTGTAAATTAAAGTCACTTTTGATTGTTTCCTCGAATTCGTTGTGGGTCTCCAATCACTTTAAACTGCTGTTTGGTTTGGATTCAGGGCGTAGGAGGAGTGGGAGGAGGGCGCTTTTTCATATTCAGAGAGGGGGTGCTCTTTAAGGACCTCGTTCTCTTTGGGGCTATAAAGACGTTGTGCCTTCAAGACAGAGCAAATTATCTTCATCGGCGAATTATTGCTTTACAAGTCGCCTCTACTCGTCGGTGCGCGAAGCGATTAGTTTCTCTTTTTTCTTTTTTTATAGTGACATTTGATTAGAGCGAGCGGTTTTCGGTGAAGATGATGGAATACATGGAGGATAAGTTTGCCTTGAAAAGCCAAGCGATGAAGGCCAGCGATTACTACATGGATCAAGTCATGGAGAGCCTGGACAGCGCGCAGTACTTCACCAAGTCTTCCCCAAAATGTGTGCAGGCCTTCGGGCTACAGAGCGGCGAGCACCGCTCCTCTCCCTGCGGGGATCAAACCCGTGAGTACAAGCTTGTTACGCTCATTTTTGCGAAGTCAAAAGTTATCCCGCAAATGAGTGCGCGAGTTAAGCGGGTTAAGCGAGAGAGAGAGAGGGAGAGAGAGGGGAAAAAAAGCTTACATTCACCGAAGTCGATCTTTTCAGTGACGTTTAGTTTTATTCTCCTACTTATTAATTACAATTTCTTTTGGATTTTTATTTTCATTTTTTTAATCGAATCTATTTTTTAACATTATCTGATATATAAAATAATTTCATTTAATCTCCAATACAGGCTAGTAGGTTACATATTTTGGTGCAGTGACTAGCAAAGTGAGACTGTTGTTGTTAACTTATCACTTATTTGTATTGTAGCCAGTTACAGTGTGCCAAAAACAGATGAAGACACCTTGCACTCTGACCTCGGGAGGCCCATGGACAGTTGTTGCACTCTGCGGGCGTCTCCGGTGACAACCGGCTCGGAGAAAACCGATTTGGATGAGATGGGAGACAAGTGCGACAGTAACGTGTCCAGCAGCAAGAAGAGGAGACACCGGACGACCTTCACCAGCGCGCAGCTCGAGGAGTTGGAGAAAGTGTTTCAGAAGACACACTATCCAGATGTTTATGTGAGGGAACAGCTGGCAATGAGGACAGAATTAACAGAGGCTAGAGTGCAGGTAGAGTTTACTGACCGACTCGTTTTTGCTTAAACATAATGAGAACAGGAGCCTTTAAGCGCTGAAAGGCGTAGCCTAGTACGACAGCGGGCGTTAATATCCAAACCCTGTGTATACGTGAATATATAAGCATAAAGGTTTTGATAGTTGAAATAAATTTTCATGTGTGTTTCTTTTAATTTTTTTTTTAAAATGTTGCAACTTTTTTATTTTCTGTTCTCCCGTTTTTTTGTTTTTTGTTTTAAATAGATTGGCTACTTTTCTCTCTTTCTGAGCCTTTGGGGAAAATAATATTAATAAATGTAAACATATTTTATATTTATCTCTTTTTTCTTTTTACTTAAAAGGTGTGGTTTCAAAACAGAAGGGCAAAGTGGAGGAAAAGAGAGCGCTACGGGCAAATCCAGCAAGCCAAAAGTCACTTTGCAGCCGCCTACGATTTATCCGTGCTACCAAGGACAGACAGCTACACACAGGCAAGTATTGACAATTTTATTTTATTTTATTTTATTTTATTTTATTTTATTCATTTTAAGCATTCATGGACTTTATTTTCAAAAGAAAATGAGTTTCTTTGTCAGCTGCTTGGGCTGGAGGCAGTACTGTGCTTTATAAAGAATATGAACTCTTTACTCTCACTCCTTTCTAAACATCTCAGTTATGTAGGTCACTTCAAACTTAAATTAGTGCTTCGGCCACGATTGCTCGATAAATCACTAATTATGAAACCCATCTTCAGATAGGAGCCTGAACACTGATTAGAGTCGCTGTGAGGCGTCATGTCTGAATGAATGAGCTTATATCAGATTGCATGTTGGCTGAGCATTTGTCTTGCTGTTTGGACAAAGGTCAGTTACAAGATGAGAGGAGGTGAGAAGAGAAGAGATGCAGAATGTCAGTGTTTTTTGTGTCTTTTTCTCCTTTTGTTAGGTGTTACATTAAAAATGGACATCAGGCCTTCAAGTGTTGTGGAGACTTTTAGGTTTTCAGAGATGTAAATATGCACACAGCAGCTGATTCCAAGAGGCAAAAATAATAAAATGTAGAAAAAAGGCAGAGTCACAGCTCTGCTATACCCTGGCCGAACACCAGGTTAGAATTCTGTTGGACTGTCTCACATTTTTTCCTCACATATGTTTCTGATAGATTCTCCTGGATATGAGCCATGCCTGTTCATACAGCTGATCCCCATTACTATCAATAAATGGACAAACCTACTTGTAACCCTGTTGGCACTGGCTGTTTCTGTCTGCTGAAACACACTGGTCATGAGTTGCATTGCTGTGGCTTTTAGAGAACTTTCTTTTTTTTCTGTCAGCAAGGTTTTCGGTTGTTGTTGATTTTTGTGCAAAAGTTGAAGTCATGCTTAACAATGATACATGTGGTCAAAAGGGCACCAGTCGATTCTTGTGCTAGTTTAACTTAAGGATGTTCATCTGACTCCCAAAACAACCTTAGTCAGTCAAAACTTATTTGTCATTTTGTCATTTGATTTTCAGAAAGCCATGCTTCAGCAAAATGAGCTCTACCAGTTTGGTTACTATTGATGTGCAATTTGCAGAGTCTTTTGAAGAGGCAGACATATTTCAGTCACTGTTTTTTGACCGAGGAAATTTGCATGCTCCTTAGTTACATTGGCCTGTCCTCTCAGTTTATTGGAAATTTCGCACTGTGTCAGGATCAAATTATTTGGATGTGATCAAGCAGTCAGTAGACTCTGAGCTTATAAGTTAGACAGTCATCCTTCTGTAAGGTGAAGTTTATTAAAAATCAGTCATGTAGTGTTTACTGTAGCATGAGTGTATCTCTTGTGTTATCCTACTGCTCCCTGACTAAATTTTGGCCACATGACCTTTTAGAGTGAATTTAGGACATTTTAAACTGCTTCGGAGTTACTACGACTGATAATCATACACATCACCATCAAACGTAATCATATCAGCAGTTTACTGAAAAATGTTCACTTAAAATTTCATGAAAAGATGCATTACAAACACAACCCTTTAAACAATAATTTTAAGTTTTCACGCTTTGTATAAAAATATTTTTGTCCACATTTACATTTATTGTATTATTAATATGCAACTATTTAAGATTCCTGTAAGTCGTTTTTACACGCTTTGGAGAATCAGGTCCAGATATTTTCTGAAGTTGACCTTTCAAGCAGACACTTGGTTACTAATGAAAATACTCAAGCTTAGGCAAAGTCTCTGCCCAGATACAACATGTGGGATGCCCAAGCACTCACTGTGAATTTTTATTCTTACCTGGGCTCAGTTGGGCATCACTCAAACTTTGCATTAGAGCGCTGTCAGTGTAAAAACTATGTAATATTCATTGCTATTCTCCTCTCTTTTTTAAGGTAATTGTTATTATGTGTGTAATATTATCACTTTAGCGCTACAGTAAAAGTTTAAAATCAGTTGCAACTTTCCAGTTGCATGAGATAACTATAAATAAATAACAGAGGACATTTTAAAAACAACAACAACAACATTTTTTAGTGAAAAATACTTTTGTAAACTAGATGCTTGTTAACTACATTTCATACTCTGTATTTTATGTTCCATATAGACAGTTTGAGTGGCAATAATTGTATCGAGGATACATCATAGTTTACTGTACAAGATCATGTCTGTAACCCTGTATTTACAATTCTCTTAATTTTTTTCAAATGGTATGTCACAGATAACAGGTCAGCGTACAGTGTCTTTACGAGCCCAGTTATTAATCCATATAAACTAATTTGTACTGTATGCTGGAATGAATTGAAGCCATTCCCTGTAGTATCTAACAGCCTCTTCACCCAACAGATCTCCAACAATCTGTGGCCGAGCCCAGCTCCTGGCAGCTCTGTGGTCTCCTCTTGCATGCTGCCCCGAGGTTCCCCTCCTTGTGTCACTTCCTACTCCCACTCCCCTCGTTCGGCCGCCACTGCTGCTGACCATGGCTACATGGGCTTCCCAAATCAGCAGAACCAATTTGGTCACGTGTCTCTCAATAACTTCTTCAGCGCAGACTCGCTTCTCACGCCGGCAAGTAACCCAGCTTTTGACACCAAACCTGAGTTTGAGAGGCGGTCATCCAGCATCGCCGTGCTGCGCATGAAGGCCAAGGAGCACACAGCCAACATCTCGTGGGCCATGTGATCAGGGTTCCCAGAAAGCCCGGATACTGTGTGGGAATTTATTATTATTTTTTTCAATTATCACTTTTTACACAAAAAAGTGAAAAAGTGAACTGTTCTGAAAAAAAAAAGCTCTATGTCACTCACAGTGAAGCTCTAACAAGCCTTTCTTTGCTCGGTGGACTCGAGTTCACTCTCCTACTACTTATGGTTATGTGCTTATTAAAAAAATAATACACTCAAGCTCGGACCATAAAATTGAACTAGGAATGAAAGTGTATGACAATCAGCTGTGTTTCTGGCTGAAGCCTGTTTGAACTAATTGAAAGTTGTCATCAAACGGAACCAATACATTCATATCATCATAGCAAATATTGTCCACTCTGGTGAGAAGAGACATTTAATGAACCTTTGTGATCGGTGGAGATGGAAGCTGTGATGTGTATAAGCTTTGTCGTTGTTTTTTTTCTTTTCCTATCACCATTTCCTCTCTACAGAGACAATAGCAAAAATCAAAGGCTACCGTGGGATTTGGTACCACTTTGTGCACACTTGGATCCAGAGAGAGGGGTCCAAAACCACTTCAGTATTTCCAAGCACTGTGAATAGCTTTCTTTTACCTTTCATATTTCTTCCTGTCTCAGGACTGAAGATGAGCAGAGCAGAGGAAAAACCTACTTGGCGTACTAACGTGTCTGTGTGCTTTGCAGCAAAGCTGTAATCTCTGTTTTCTGCCTTTGTTCTGTATCAAAAGAGGCAGGTGTTTTTTTTTTTATTATCATGTTTGTGCTATAAATTTATTTGATGGAATCATAATAAATGGATTTTACTTGATTCTGGTATGGCTGCATTTTTTAAAAAAGATTAAACTGAAATGTAAGGCAGGGGTCGACAAACCATGGAAGAACCTTTACATCCAAGATCTTTTATTATTTCTTCTATTGTGCAGCAGAGTTTTAATATAAGTTAAGAAATATTAAAAACATGAGAGTGTCAAACAGTTTTACTGGGTGATGTTTCCCATCATTATTAATATTAGTGCTGCAAACGTTTCTTTAGTCTGTATCTCACAGAACACGCACATCTATATTAATCTGCAGCTGACTATTTCTAGCAAATTCATTTACTCCACTTTGAGAGATTGCTTAAGAAATGATTTAGACATTTTAAATAATTACATTTGGAAATTAAGTTGTTTTTAATTATGCTGTTCCATATTTGCACAACTGGTTTATTATGGGAAAAATACATTAGACAATTAAAGTTATGCATACCTCAATTCATCAAAGTCAAGTATTTGTTTGGAATACATGATTTTTAAAATGATTTGTTTAACTAAATACCTCTATTTGGATCAAAATCAACGTCTTCATTCATTTTTTGGCCGTAGGATATGACTGTGTTCTTTTACAAGGAATTTCTTTGTTTTACACGGAATCGTGTTTTTATGCTGAAGAGCTGCAACAAATACCTATTTTCTCCGTTGAATATTTTTTGATGACTTGGTTATTTTGTCTGTGAAATTTTGTGAAATATTGAATTATATTAATAAGTTCAGCATTTCATTTAACAAAGATAAAAAAAAACCTACTGTGGTTGGTAGAAAGTAAAAAAAAAAAAAATGCTGGATAAATGGCACAACAAATTGTCAGCATTCTTTCACTTTACAAATTGATTGTAAAGTGAATCATTTTGGCATTAGCTGCTGCAGTTTAAGCAAGTTTTAAACATTATCTGATAGATATAAAGATAATGAAAAATACCAAACAAGCTGTATGTAACAAACTGTATCCACTGTCTTTGAATACTTTTTATTTTACTTCTCTGGCCTGTTTGTGGCTCGGTTTCTACTGAACATGTAATTTTTAAAAAGTGGTCACAAATGTTAGTGACTTATCAAACAGCTGGACACTAGAAAAGTCACTCAAAGAGAAGTTAACAGCGCTTGAGAAGGGACCTATTTTCAGCTGTGGAGTGACACAATGCTTTAGTATTCACGCAGTAGGACAATGGGATTTGGTTCATGATAAACTGCAGTTTCTATGGTTATAGTAATGGAACAAGATATGAATAAGGGATATAGGAATTAGATAGTCTTATGTAAGAGTACTAGCATACATTTGTTGGATTTAAAGTGTGGTACTTACATGGGATTTGTTTACAACAAGAAAATATATCTGAAACCTTCTCCAAAATCAGACCTTTCCTGTGGAGTCCAAGTCAGCTCATTAAATGCAGTTAATCTATTTATTCACCAACACCACACTATGTAAAAAAAATAAAAAAGTTTTGTAGTCTATCATGCTGTCATGTAATTAGGAGCATGTCTTGTTCTTTCTCTGCTGTTTGTTTTACTGACATCATCGCTTTGTTTTGCTCTGAAATCCCAGCCAGTGGTGAATTGTGTTTTCAGGGAAACCCTGTCTATAGGAACAGCGGGCTTGATTCAATTAGGACCGTAACTTGTGTCAGATGCCTCGGTTTGGAAATAGGTTTGTTTTTTTGAGGTACTTCCTGCTTGCTGCCATTCTGAGAACACCAAGTGCCCTATCTGTGCACATTATAACGCACAAGCTTTGAAGCAGAAGTGTTCATGGAACGAGCGCTGCATACACTCCCAAAAGTTGCAGTGAGACTCTTCTTATAGTGAACAAATAATTTACGTATGTCTTCACTTTTTCATAAATGCGTGTATTGTGATAAGATATTTGTAATAAAACTGCAGTTTAATGTTGTACATACACTTTCAATTTTTGAGTGGATCATGGCTGTTGTCACCAATTTATATCTTCTATCAAGTACTTAATGTTTGATTGTTATAATTCTTAATGATAATATTGTGTCAAATGTTCAAAAGTTAGTCATCCATCCATCCGTCCATCCATCCATCCATCCATCCATCCAGTGGGGGGAATTATTTGAACCTCTGCTTTATTTGTTAGTTTGCTCACTTAAAAAGATAAATTTTATTGTCATTTTACTTTAATGGAGAGAGAGAGAGAGAGAGAGAGAGAAAGAATATGAATCAAAAATCAAGAAAAAGGACATTACATGAACGTTATAAATTGATTTGCAAGTCACTAAAATTACAAGGAGTCAGTAATAAGTCAGTCAATCAATTACAGATACTTGTGATCTCAACTCGTTATGTGTATAAAGCACATCTGTCACAGAGTCTGTTTCTTTGATCCCATCCTCTCCACCTCCGAGGACAACAGATGTCAGGAACAAGTGTAGATCTGCACAATATGGCTACAAGACCATCACCAAGAAGCTTGGTGAGAAAGTGACAGTTGTTGATATGATTATATGGAAATGGAAGGTCTAGAACTCCAAAAATCGCACTCATAAGGTTAGGGTGAGCATGAGATAGATGGTGGATCAGCCAAAACTAGTTGAGAAGATCTTGCTAATGATCTAAAGGCTGTTGGAACCACAGTAACCAAGAACACCATTGGTAACACACTATGCCATATTGGATTGAAATCCTGCAGCGCTTGCAAGGTCTCCCTGCCTAAGAAGGCACAGATACAGGCCCATCTTAAGTTTGCCAATGAACATTTAAAGAAGGCTTGAGAGAAAGTGCTGTGGTCTGATGAAACTGAAACCAAGCTTAATGGCTTTCATTCGATCTGCTGTATTTGGAAAAAGTGAAACACTGAGTATAACCCAAAGAACACCATCCCCATAGTCAAGCTCGGAACATGTTAAATGGACTGATTCTTATATAGCGCTTCTCTACTCTACCTGAGCACTCAGAGCAGCTTCTGATACACACCTCATCCACCCATTCAAGGTCTGTGACTCATGATGACTGGTGTAATTATGTAGTAACGACTTGTGAATCAAAACATCCCTGTGTTGATTACATTGCCACTTGTGTGATCCCATTACCGACAATCTGTCTTTGCTTTGTGGTGCTTATCTGTAAACTATAACCATGAACTATGTATTTACAGATACATCTACTTTTTCTAGTAGTATTTCTAGTGACGTTTCTTACTAAACCTTCTTCACTACAAATCATTGATTCTTGCCCAAGGCAAAAGCTTTGTTCCAGGTCTTCTTAGGAGGTGAGATCTTGTAGCAAAGAGAATAGAAACTGCTGTCTATGAAAAGTAAAGTGAGCAGTGTGACATTCTCACCGTACAAATGGTTTAATGAAATTCCACTTGCCATAACCCTCGGTGATATACTGTACTCAAGGATTAATTAAAAATTGAAAATCTATCTTGGTCCAGTTTTTTTAATTATTATTTTTTAAACCCTAATTTAAAAACCCATAATTCCTTTCTAGTCTGCCTCTGATAAAAAGGCCTGTAACCAGCACTCTGATCTGCTCTTTTATATTCATCTTCTTTTTTCCCCTCCAACCATCACCATGTCCATTCTGTCCTGGCCTCCACGCCATCTTTTATCTCTCTCCATGGTCATCACACTGTGCCTGGAGACTGATCATGCAGTCAGGTCCACACTGTGTTTGTGTTTTTGTGCGTAGGAGAGAGAGAGAGAGAGAGAGAGAAAGAGAGCTCCTGCAGTCTAGATCCATCAACAGCTCCAATGGGTTTGACCCTTCCAGGTTAACCGCAGCCATTAATATAAAAGCTTCCCTCCTCTGCCTCCCTTCTTCCCGCACAACCTTACGTGGGGGAGTACAAGCCCCAGTGTGTGCACATGTGTGTGCGCATACATACGCACATGGCCACTGGTACGAAGAAAAAAGAGGCAGATCAAACGCTGTGGTGGCAGGCGGCTGAAAAATGGCACTGGCGGTCACACATGTTCCTCTGCTGTGGAACATGTGTCTTGCCCACTGTTGTTTTTCTAATCACTCAGCAGTGATGTTTTACTTCTTCCTCTGTTCTGGAAGGATGGACCAGTTCACCTTTGCCGTCTTCCTCGCTACATGTAATATAAGACTACATTTCTTTAGAGGTCATTTAATAAAAGATTTTCATGTCAGTCTGACAAAGACATATTTCATAAATTACAAACGTATGTTAGCTGGTAGACATTTAGCTTTCTTTGATTTGCACAATAAAACATATAACAGTTTAAAACAAATGTAAAAGATGAAAACGATACACTGAAACAGCACCAGGCCTTCCTTGCACATTCAGTGCAGTTTTAATTTTAATAGTTAGCCATGTGACTCATGATTTGGCTACTTAGCACAGCAGTAAGTGCAACAAAAGAAAGAGAGCATTTGGAGAACATTACGATTTGTTCCACTGCAGCCTGTAGCATTCAAATGTGGTTTCCTGCTTTTAGTTACTTATGAACATATGTTGTGCATAATTTGCAGTATTAATTCAAAGTTTTGTATTTCTGCAAAACATATATCAAAACCAGTCAAATATCCAATGCCATTAAGACTTCCGGCATATGCAAACAAACTATGTACACTTTGTGAAGTACTGCTCGCTTTTAAAGCCATCTAGTGGTCATGTGTAATGCAAGCAGAGTGTATTACTCAAACAATGCAACTAAAATGACTTGAATTTACCTTGGTAAAATCTTTTTGTGTAAATCACTAAAATCCACTTAACCCCAGTACGTACACTGGGTGATGGAACTCTCTGCCGTTGTCTTTACGCTGTCTAGACTCTACTGACTCCTTTAAAAAGCAGCTGAAGACATTTTTATACAAACGGGTTTTTAATTAATTTTAACTTGTATGTCTGATCTTATTGTAAAGCACTTTGTGATTTTTATCTGTGAAATGTGCTATATAAATAAATTTTACTTACTTACTTACTTACTTACTTACTTACTTACTGATGTTCACCCA